TCTCCCTCTCCCCCCTCCCCCTCCCCTCTCTCCTCTCTTCTCTCTCTCTCCCCTCTCTCTTCTCTCTCTCTCTCTCCTCTCTCTCTCTCTCTCCTCTCTCTCTCTCTCTCTCTCTCTCTCTCTCTCCCTCTCTCCTCTCTCTCTCTCTCTCTCTCCTCTCCTCTCTCCTCTCTCTCTCTCTCTCCTCCTCTCTCTCTCCCTCTCTCTCTCTCTCTCTCTCCTCTCTCTCTCTAGATTCGCTCTCTCGTCCTGAGTTGCACGGCTCTCTCTTCGGGCCTGCGTATTGGCAGCCTTATGTAACACACACATCAAAAGAAGTGCATATCAATTTCCAATTTCCTCCATGCTGATATGCAGGCGCGACGCACGTGGTCGTTTTTTAGTCGCCGGTCGGAGGCTGGCGGCAGCACGGTAATAAAATTCATCGTGACCAAAACCAATGTGCATCGCACTGGTTTTCCACCAGTCTATCGTGGAGCCAGGATGCTCTACAAATGCAAGCTAATGCATTAAAATGCCACTGCAGGAAGACGCTGCCGATTCCAAGAGGTGCGTGGCACGTGCACATGTGCGGCGTCCTGCACGTCACGCGCGTGCCTGACTGGGCAAGGACACGTGCCATCCGAGCCGCGCTCACGGCAGGAGGCTGGCGAAAGGTGAACGCTGTTCAGCCATCTGCATGACGTAGCTCCCGATAATTACTGCCAATCTCCGGAAGCGAAGGAGGGTGGTTGTGCACGTGACAGCGCCGCCCCCGTAAGCGCATCACTGGCTGCACATAAGGGATGGCTGTGTTTCTGAGGCGTACATCAGCGGTCGCCAAGCAGTGGGCTGGTTGCGGCCCAGTACCCAAGGCATATCGTGCCAGGGACACTGGCGTCGCGCCGTCAAGAACGGCGTATTCGCCAACAAAGAAATGCGTAACATTGGGTATCTTCGGGAACTGGCGCGAGTGTATCCACCAAAGCAAAGCGGACTAACCTGCCAGCTGCTTGGCTGAGAATGATCGGGTAGCGCTTGAGGTACTCTGAAACAGAACGAAGCAATATGGCGTCAACGACCGGACCAGCGCGGCCACAGCAGAAGTGTCGAGGACTCCTTTACAGCGACATACTTCAATGATTCACGTAAGCATCAACTAAAACATTAAGTAGCGCACTTCTCCCAAAGGATGTCACCGCAGTGCTCTATACCACACAATGACGCACGATATAAAAGCTCTGGAATAATTAATTAGTTCATTAGTGATGTCACTACGAACATGGACGCTTGACCGACTGCAATGTCTAAAGAACCGCATTGCACTCGGAACCTGAATTCAATCGATTTGGTAGCAAATACACAGTATTTAATAAATACACAAGATATAACAAATACAGAAGTTGAATAGGTCACTTAAATTAGGAACTTTGTTTTTGGTACCATCAAAAAGGGGTCTTATTCCACATGGTGCACTGCAAGGGAGCATGCCATTTCGTGTCGCAAACAGTGCTAGGAGCAACCTAGCTTTCTCAGAAAACAAGAATAGACCTCTTGTGTCATGCTACGCACGGCGTTATAAAAATATTTGAGATATCAGAGGTAGAGCCATGGTCCACGCTTGCACCAAGGAACCAAATATGTTGTTTCTTCACATATTAACTGCCATACCTTGCGCTTTAATGAAATGCTTTAAAAATGGCGTTACCCCGGTTTTGAAAATCAATGGTAGTTTTAAGCCTTTGACAAGAGACCATGACAATTTTACATAGGTAGTTCCGCTGACACGAATAAGCGCCGTCAAAACCAGGCATCGCATGTGAGATGCCAGAGGACCCCAGATGCGCCATACCTCTCGACGTGCTAGATAACGTGTAATACAAATGCAGAATTCCGTAAAACCAGGACAACTAGCAATTGACCTAACGCAAATGAAAATAGTCACAACGAAACCTGAGGCGAGAGGCCCGACTTCAATGCGCCCTCGACGACCTTGTGGGCCCGCAAAATGCGACCCTTACGTCCCTTTGACCGCATCGCGCATACAGACATTATAGCATTTGATAAGTTTTTACACGTCCGCCGAGGAAAAGTACAAGGGATTTGCGACCAGCCGCCGCGTCCACAGTAAAGCGACCCTTGGGTTGGCAAACAGTGTATTGCCTTGGTGCGCACACGTGAATGGAAATTGGCGTACAGACTTGACTTAGTTGGCACCTGCTACTTTGAAACGGTTATTTTTCATCCCTTGGGTAGATGAATTGCAACCAGACAGTGGAAAAACCACGCCCACAGCTTAAAATGAGTTGAAAAAAGAACAAGGGCCTGTGTGACCAATAATCCAGTGGTCAATTACAAGCTATAATCAGAGCGCACCAAAACACCAAAGCATGGCACAGATGCATGGGATGTTACATAGTTAATATAATGCACAACACAAACCACATACGCAATTTCGAAAAAACATCCCCACACTTTTTCAAATGACACGCATATCTGTGATCACCGAGTGCTGCGCTTTCGGACGGCGTGCTTCCCGTTCACCTGAAGATGCGGACCATTTTCAGCGGGCCGCGCAGCTCTGCAACCGTCACGGAGTGACGGCTACTCCGGCCGGCATGAAAAATACCCGGGGGCATGGCGCGACAAGAATTGAAACCGGTGCCTACCGCGTGAGGGGTGCGGACGTTAGCGGCCGGCCGTCGGCCTCCCGTGTGAGGACTACGGGCGTCAGCGGCCGGCCGTCGGCCCCCCGTGTGGGGACTACGGACGTCAGCGCCCGGCCATCGGCCCCCCGCGTGAGGACTACGGACGTCAGCGGCCGGCCGTCGGCCTCCCGTGTGAGGACTACGGACGTCAGCGGCCGGCCGTCGGCCCCCCCCCCCCGCGTGAGGACTACGGACGTCAGCGTCCGGCCGTCGGCCTCCCGCGTGAGGACTGCGGACGTCAGCGCCCGGCCGTTGGCCTTCCGCTTGAGGACTACGGACGTCAGCGCCCGGCCGTCGGCCTCCCGCGTGAGGACTGCGGACGTCAGCGCCCGGCCGTCGGCCTCCCGCGTGAGGACTGCGGACGTCAGCGCCTGGCCGTCGGCCTCCCGCATGAGGACTGCGGACGTCAGCGGCCGTTCGTCGCGTTCCCGTGGTGACAGTGCTGCGATTTCATGGGGGGGGGGGGGGGGTTGCAACGCTCAAACTTGCTGCTTATGGTAAGTGTTTCACGTAGTCGTTAAGAACGCCCCAATGGTGAATCAACAAAGAGTGTATCAGCCTTCCCGTCCACTAGTGGCATTAGCCCAAATAGACATCAAAATTTTTGATTGTAACGGCAGAACAAGCCAAACTACAGAAGAACAGGAGCGGTAAAACCACAGCCACCAGCACTCCACATGCTGAATTGGTGCTACCATGGTCTGGTCACATGAAAAAGGTACTAACGAAAGTTTCGTTAGAATTTTGGTTCCCAATCGGTGGCCACACTTTTTTGTTCCACCCCTATGCCATTCATATACCGAAAAGTGGCGTAATTATTGAGAATAGGAAATTTTGAAACCAAAACCGGTCTGATCAAACAACCATATCCAATTTAAGTTACTTGCTCCAGCCAGAGGAGCCATACCTCGAGCCCATGAGCACGACACCCGACGAAATTAGAAAATAATGAACTAAAAGCAATACCAAAAATTACAAATGGTAAAATGACAAGAGACTAACGCATCTTTAATGCATGGAACGCAAACATGTGCCACTATTAAGCATCGAGCATAACAACCCGTCTACAACGGTTTGTGCCAGAGCCAGCAGCTCCGGAGCTGGAGCCAGCAGCTCCGGAGCTGAAGCCAGCAACCCTGCCGTCTCACCTTGTTGAAGTCGCTCTGCAGCACTCGCTGCGGCCCGGCGGCCGGCTTATCCAGCGTCGGCTCCGAACACGACATGCGTGCTGCCATCTCCAGGTAAAGGTGCGAACTGCGGCGGCGCAGGTGCTGCCGCCCGGCGGTGGCCAGCGGCGGCTTGTCGTCGGCGGCCAGCGGCGGCAGCCGCTCATCGCCAGGAGTGCTGAGTGGCGACACGGTCGGCGACGGCGGTCGCCGGCCGCAGCGCTGCCGCGTCCGCGCCGGCTCCACCAGCTGCAGCGCCAGCGGTCGCCGCATGCCGCCGGCCACGCTGCCGTCCTCGGCCAGGCGGTGCATCTGCTCGGCGCTCTGCCAGTGGAGGGCCGCGGAGCCGGGGGCGGACGGCTCGCCCGGCTCCTCGGAGCGGGGCGCGCAGCAGACGCCGCGCCGGCCGCCGCGACATGGAGGTGGTGGCCTCGCGCGTGCCAGGCGGGCCAGCGACACGTTCAGGCCGGTCGGCAGGGTTTGCCGCGTGCTCGGGCGGCGCTCGCTCGCTCAGGTCCGACCAGGAGGACGCGCTGGAGGAGGCCGGGCTCGTCTGGGTGGCCACCGAGCGCGACCCGCTCCGGCGCAGGAGACACCGAACGCGTGCCGTCCGGTGTCGGGGAGGCCGGGCCAGAGCCGGCCGAACCTGACACGGAGCCGGGGCCGTGGCCGGAGCCGGAGCCGGAGCCGGAGCCGGAGCCGGAGCCGGAGCCGGAGCCGGAGCGGTGCTGGCCGCTCAGTATGCTCGTCTCCACGCGGTGGAGGAAGTCGGACAGCTCGTCCGGTCGCTGTCGGAGGAAGGCCATGTCAGGTCGGCAGCGGAAGCCCTCGGAGGCGACATATAGCGAGTACACAGGCGTCGCGGCGACGCACAATGATACGGCGCGCAGCTGGCGCCCCAGCAGCCAACAGCCAGCCACCGTCCGCCGATGGAGGGATAACGCGCAGGTGTTATAACGCACATCGGACGGCACGCCGCTGCTGCGACTCCCCACCCTCGTCACACTGCTGCGTGCCACCGGCGCGAGTGCTCAGGCGGTCTGTGTGCAGCGGCCAGCCCTGCCGGCCCGCTACTGTGTGCCGTCATGCTGCTCCGCCCAGGCCACACGGGGCTGAGAGGATCCCCGCCCCCGTGCCGGTCGCCCGGACGTCGGCGCGAGGCCGGCCGCGGGGGAGGGGAAGGGGGGGGGCTCGACCTGTGAGGTGCCCAGCAGGCCGCGCGCCCGGGCCGCGTCACATAACAGAGGTTTACGGGTCGCTTTCACCGTCAGCTTGGTCTTGGTCTATTGTGGGCATCGTCAGACACCGCTGCACACCGCTGACACACGCGTCGCTTGCAAGTCCCGATTATAAACACCGCAACATCCGCACCGCCAATGCTCTCACGCCCAAAACGCACAACATTTTGGAGAAGTCTTGGCTTAGTTCAGCTATACAGCTAAGCTCGGGGTGCCACTGAGAGCGGCAGTGCCCAGGATGGTGCGACTGTCGTTCTCGACAGCTTCAACCAGAAATAAATATCAGCCCTGGGGTCACCTCGACTTCGACTCTAAGCACTGTTTTTGTCTCAGGTTTCACCACTGCTGCATTATAACGCCAGATTACACCCCCATGTGATATTCACCGCCTGGGTAAATATCAGCGCTGCCGGTGCATCGACATATCCACAATTAGTCCTGAAATCCAGAACAATTTCTATCATCAAGTAGAGCATCCACATTTTAAGTGTTTCAACGGTTCTCGTGTGGCACAATCACCTGCAATCACCGGATATGATGTGCAATCCCGCCGCTGCGCTACATGAAGCTCTTGTCGTAAGACACCAGCGGAGCAGGCCGCCGCGCCTATCAGGAGGTACCAGGAGATGCAAACAGGAGCAGTCTCCGGCTGTACTAAGGGGTGCGAACAAAAGCAGCCTCCGGCAGTACCAGGAGATGCAAACAGGAGGTCTCCGGCGGTATCAGGAGGTGCGAACAGGAGCAGCCTCCGGCGGTACCAGGAAGCGCCACTATGTGGCCGTCATGTGTTTTACGCATAACCCTGCTTTTCCGTAGCATCTGCAGCGCAGACATATCGGTGGTATGACGTGGTGTGACAGAAAGCATGTTATCCTGCTGCTGCCATGCGTTGCTACGTCACATATGTGGGAACGAGCGGTCATTAAAAGAACCATAAAACAAGGCCATAGGGTTGCACCATGTGACTTGGCGGATAACCCGCGGACTCGCGTTCATATGTACGCAGTTATTTTACCCGGCGCGCAGCTTCGGGGCCAGGGGCGGCTGCTGCCTGCTAGAAAACGCCGGGGTTCTTAAAGCCATCCCGGCAGCCGAGCAGGTCGACGAAACGACCGACACAAATCAATGCGAAAGGAACACGATGGCATGACCTCGCTAGGTCGTGAACTGGCCAGGGGCCCAAGAGCAGTTCGCCTGCACACAGAGCTCAGGGTCGCTGGTTCTATCGAGTGATTCCGACCAGCCCTATCGGCTCCATCGGCTCTATCAGATCTGTGTTCCCTATCGGCTCGACGCGCCGCCTGTTATGCTTTCCAATAATGGCATAATCTGCAGATTGTGGCTGGAGATTAGGGCAATGGGGGACCGGCCGCAGCCTAATGAAGGATGTGTGCACGATAACGGCGCGGTGGCGAGCTTAAATCCTTCGTGTGGCGACATCCGCCTGTGCCGCGCACCGGGCCGTTTGAAGACACCGTGGAGTCCACCGACTGGCAGCGAACAGCTGGGAGGATATGAGGTTGCGCTTTGGTGCGCAGACTACTCGGGTCGTTTGTGGGTTACACACACACACTACGCATCGCACAACTTACAGGGTTATTAGCAAACTATTTGGCGACGATCACGCCACACGACTGGCCGTACCAATCGCGCGACGTGGTTGCCTACTGTAAGTACGATTATCAAATGCAAAATTATCTATAGACACTCAGACAAATTGATGAGTGCAACTGTACGGAACGGAACCGAAATTCAGGAGAAGCCAAACGAGATGGTAACAACAAAAACAGCTGTACCGCGAGTTAACGACCAGTGAGCAAGACAAAGAGCGAAATAAATGGTAGAGGTGATAATAAGACCTGAGACCCTACCGGCATCGATCGAGACTCCACGTCAGGAGTCAAAATCACGATTCACGCATTGCTTTAATTTCCTGATATTTCCTGATATCTTACTTATTCGTTAAACGTCACGCACGAACTGAGCGCATCGCTCGCCCTCAGCCAACCTGCGGTTCGCCGTGCTTCTGTCCCCGCCGACAGCAGCTCGGCAGCGCCGCCCCTCCTCCGCGGCCAGCGGTCAGCCAGCAGCGGCTAGCGGGTTCAGGCGGGTCCGGCGGGCCCGGCAGCGCTTGGTCAGAACGTGACAGAATGCGCGCCGGCCGCTCTCCGGCAGCGCCCCGGGACGCGCCGGACGTGTCGGCGGGTCCGGCGACGGCCGTGACGTGCGTCGAGCGCGTCCGTCCCGAGAAAGTGGAGCGGCGACGGCGACAGCGCGAATGGCGGCCGGCCGAACAGGCGGCGACGGCGCCGAGTGGCTGATCAGACCGCGGGCCGCCTATCGAGCCGGCGTCCGGCTAGGAGGCTCGAGCGGCGTGCGTCACACGCAGTGCCATGGGCGGTGCTCGGTGCGCCGGCGACCGACCGGCAGCGCGCACGGAGCGACTGAACACACTGTGAAAGCGCTGAGGGCCGGCAGCTGGGGGTCACACAGCGCCAGCCGCACGAGCGCCGACCCGCACCACGGGTTACGCGCCCCGACACTGGCCTGGGGGCCGGCCGGCGGAGCAGCCTGACGAGCCGGCCGCGGACCCAGGCGATCGGCCGAGCCACCACCGACGGCCCCGTCACCCGGGCCCAGCGCCGACACAGTAATGAAAACCGGCCGCAGCGCACACCCCCCTCCGTGGCGGCCGGTCGAGGCGAGGGCAGCGGGCAGTCCCAGCGCCGCCAGCCCGGGGCGCCAGGCCGCGCACGTGCGCCCCGCCGGCGGCCACCGCCCGCCCGTGCCGTCGATTATCTAATCAACGGACGGCAAACAGAGCGCGACCCTAATTAGACGGTGGTCGTGACGGCCATTCTTCTGTTACATCAAACATTGCCATGTGATGAGACGATTAAAGCGCGCGCCGCGCGCCGGCCGCCGGTCGAGCCGCTGCCGTGCCCGCCGCGGCCCGCCGCGGTTCCGGTGCGCCGGGGCCAACGAGGCGCGCCGCGATGGATTCGCCAGCCGCGCGGCGTCGGCGGCGGCTATTCTAACGCGGAACCCGGCGTCGGCCGCGTCCTCCGCGGCCGACAGATGGCCGGATGTTGGGGCCGTGCTGACACCGGCTCGGGCCGGAGGGTCCAAATGACTGGAGGGGATTTTTTTTTGTTTTTGGATCGGAGAGTAAAAATACATCCAAATGAGGGTGGCAGGGGCAAATAATATTGTCAGACCGACTAAAAGCTGTCAAGTCTTACTTCGCAAGTTTCGGAGTTTATGTAAAGGCCATATTTGTTGTACAAAATTGCACAGCAGTTCTCAAATGAGCATGATGCAGCAGGTCACGTGAAGGAGGTACGCCCTTTAAGTAAATGATTAGGACGTATTTTGGGGAAAGGAACAGAATCCATAGGGAGGGCAGTTGTCCACCAATATCAGGCATGTGGGCGACTCTGGCTGCATGCGTGTCGATGGGACGCCACCGCAAGGTCACCTGGCTTATGTGGATATAGTGGTTAAAGTGAAATTGTGTTTTGGTGTCGGCCGCATACCGTTCTCGTCGATACAAACACGGTGCGAATCACGAATGGAGCAGGACCGCGGGCGGCAGAGGAACGTTGCGTCCCTGAGACTGCTACAGTCAAAGGCGCATCTGCGCTACAGTAAAGCGCGACCTCTACTGCAATCGAGGCCGGATCTGTGCTACAGTCGGAGACGGATCCAAGAGGACCGACGGGGTTATGCCTCTGCGAATGCCTAGAGCAAATCTCCAAAACTTTCATCAGTTTCGATTTGATTCAGTGAAACTGGGACCAACTCTCAAGTTTTTCCCAAAAGCGGCCCTTGGACCCTCCCACAATCTGACGCTAGAACCGCCCCTGGTTACAATCGATGGGCTTGCTCTGTTTCCGCTGATTTGACACACTAACAGAAGCCCTAGCGGCGGTGTGTCTTCACGTGGCATTTCGCTCCATTGATCCTCTGTTGGAGCTAATTAAGGCCGAAGTTTCCGTTTATTTACTGCTCACTTGCCTTCACCAAACAGGTCTAACAATTGTTTCACATGGCTCTTGGCTGGCACCCGAGACTGGATACAAACAGACCGTGTTTGTCCGACACAAGCTGAAAAGTCCCCGCTTTCGTAAGCACGCCGTGGACTGCCGCTCCTCCGCCCCGTCTGATCCAGTTCGATCTCGCCGTGGTGCCAGAACTACATCGTTACTTGCTACTTCTCCGCAAACACGTAACGGTAGTCATTCACAAAGTTGTGATGCTTACATGTTAAGATGACGGTTCAAAAGGTGGCGTTTTCTGGTACAGCGCCATACAGTACAGTTGCAGTACCAGTTAGCCTCATACAGTACAGTTGCAGTACCAGTTAGCCCCATACAGTACAGCTGCAGTACGTTTTTGGCTGTAGGGCCGCCGGCTACAGTACGGCACCCGTATTAAACAGACCGAGTTCTATGTTTTCCATCAATAGCGATACTCTTCAGAAAAATGCCTGCAACTTAGGTCTATATTGTGTTTTGTGAAGCCACTGGTTGATTTACTGGCCCCATAAA